TCAACTCTAAATTGTGTTTTTAAAAATTAACAAATAGAAAACATTTTTGATCCTCTAATTATTTTTCACTTTAATTAAGAAAAACTAACGTTGTTTTGTACAAATCGTTGTGGAAAATAAAATAGAATTCCGGCCAGCACCACAACCGAGAATCAATCAGTTTAATTAAGGCCAGGATATCTCTGTAATTGCTGTGTAACCAGCCAACTTTTCAGGGCTTACATTGCATTAGTTTTGTTTGCACTGCGCTTTAAAACGCACTGCACTCGAACGGCAAATCAATTGAATTGGCGCAATGTTGCCAAGCAACTTTGACTGCAAAATCAGGATAAAAGGTGCAGCAGCAAAAAAGAACCAATAGGAGCAAGGAGCAGCACTGGGATTTCATTGTTGCGCACTAACTTTAAAAAACTTTTCGAGTGCCCACCCTTTTACTTTATACAGTCACTCAGCTCGCCCAGGCCCTCCAGTTGACTTTGAGTGGCTTTTGGATGTCTTTAATCTACTTCAGTTCAGGCAGGGAGACATAATCATTCTGCATATTCAAGTGGCGGGAACTTATGAGCTTCGCTTCGGTTTACATTGAAACTCAAATCAAAGTTGCTCATTGTGCTACTATTTGCATTGGAAATGCATTTTGGCAGCTTTCATTTTGATTTAAAAATTAAATTTTTCTCTTTTTTGGCCAGCACTTAAGTTTCTTTAAGCTATACAAGTTTGGCAGCCTTTTGGGCTCAAAAGAGTCTTGCCTAATGCATTTACTCTGAGGCCAGTTTTAATTTAAACGAATTTTTAATGTGTTTACCAGACGAAGTATTTACTGTCTCTTTATATAAGAACCATAATTTAAACAAGCAAGTTTGAGTTTATTTAGTTAGGGTATAAGAGCAGATTATATTTATAGCATTGCCTGTTTGTGAAGAGCTTTAAAAACCCTCAAGGTAAATTTAATATTTTACTAAGCTGCTCATAAAAGTATAATTTTTCTGTGCACAAGCAAAATCATACTCACCAGGAAAATGCAAACCTAACCATTCGCATTTGCAGCTTAAGACAGTTCAGACACTTGATACAAATTGAGTTTTATACTAAAAAGGGAGATGAACTTTAGCAGCCTTTGCCGAAATGAAAATAATTCCCTTTGGCCAACTGTCGATATTCATTAATCCGTTTGACCTCGATATCACGCACATTATACGTTGCAGTATTGAAATATATTGCGTATACGCATCGTTTCCTCTGCAGGGAGTCGTAATTAAGTGCCTTAATGCACAGTAAAATCTACTTTCAACACACACATCACACACAACACACACAAATGGGATTTTTATTCAGTTAGGTATAAAATGGGCATAAACAATAAGTGAATCTGCAGCTGACAGCACGTAAATATTTATGAAATTTTCAAAACAAACAAAATCTAACTAAGGCAAATAAATGCTTGCAGGCATAACCGTATTATGAACTGCAATCGAAGCCTTTACACACAGAAGAGAAATCTGTGATTCTGGGAAAATGCCAATCGTAGAGAGGGCAGGACACGTGCCGGCCCGAGGACAATGTGACCGATATGCAAAAGTTCCGACCACAGCAATGGCAAAGTTGAACCAAAGGATGTGCTGACATTGTCCAGAGACAGTTACCTGTGATATTTTGTGAAATGCCAAAAGGAAAACACAGGACCGAACCGAGACAGCCCCAATATGCACTGGCGCTTGGGTGGGCGGGAATCATCGAGACACACAGGCACACTCGTATAAACAGGATTATGTGTCTCGGGGGGTTATGTAAGTAAGCTTCCGTTGTAAATTGATTTTGTAGCAAGCCGGACACACTGAGGGAAAATGAAAAGGATTTTATCCAATCATTGTTGTCAGGGGCCACCACCTGAAATAGAAACTACACAAGTGCTTCGACCCATTCGTTTGCACAATTGCCGAATTTCATACGTACAGTTGCCGCCAATTAATAGTGAACCTTTTTGCAACCAGTTGACGTTCTTATATCTTATGTTAAAATTTCTTACAACAATTCAATGAATAAATTAAGGTATTAAAACAAAACCTATGCATAACTAAACTAGTAAAAGGCAAAACTCTTAAATTTAATTGGCTCAGTGCTATTATTTTGTCCTCTGCTTTAATATATTTTACATTACATATTTGGGCGAAGAAAGGCGGTCCGAAAGTGGCATGAATGAGTGATCTGCTATGTGGAAATATTTTTAATTTTGGCATAGCTCTGATTTGATTGTGTCTGGTCGAGGCCAGTCCTGCTGGTCGCCCTTAGAATGGCCTGGCCTTTTTTTGTACATTCTGCGGACTGGAGACAATTTTATGCTTTGTTCGGTTGACATTTGCCGGATGACTGAAGGACGGGTTGACTACAACTCTCCGCCGTTATCTTTCTTCTTCTCTCTGTCAACGTCCATGCTTTTGATATTGATGTCCTTTGAAGTGTTTGCAATTAGTTTGCATTTCGCTTGTCGTTTTTCCTTCACTCCTTAGTTCCTTACAAAGGTCTTCTTTTTATGCTCGGTACTTGAAGGCTCAAAGATATATTAAATACGTTAAAGAAGAAGTTTCGACTTTATTAATAAGTCGGATATAGAATCTTAATTTATTGCAAGATACATTCAAGTTTTGTGGACACAAATATAATTGTATATATTGTTTAAGTCAAGAAATTTTTTTTAAATGTCTATTATTGTTGGGTGCGGACATTGTTTTTTCGTTAGGTAATTTACTGCAGGAGCCTAAAAGGTATCCCACAGTCGAATTACTCGCCCTTTTTTGTATTATTTCAACAGAGGCCAGCAGGCCCAGGACATATTAATAAAAGACAAACGGACAGGGGAATGCCCTGTGACTGTCTGCTAATTGAACGACCGGCGTCGGACTATCCAATCCGTCCGGGACATGTCAGCTTTGCGCCAAATGAGTTTCAAAGGTAAAAGGGGAGCGGAAAGCCAGCAATTGCCAACTGCAGAAACTGTCTACATGTGTCCCAAATTGGCGCTCAGTCGGATTAGCTGCTTTTTGCTACAATCTGCACCTTTTTTCCACCTTTTGCTGCATTCCGTGGCTGACAACTGCGAACAGGTGGCTGGCAAACATTTACGTAAAGTGTTCGTCCCATTCTGCCTTTGGGATGGTCATAAATATTTGCGCTGGCTAATTCAGTGAGCATCTGTGTCAAGCTGATCTTTGACATGGTTTCAGCATAAATTTCGGAATGGGATGAGGAAGGTTCGCCAGTCCATCCCCCAGATAGCCTTTATTCCATTCCATTTCTCGTATTTCCGTTCTCCACCATCAGCATAATTTACTCGGACTTCCGCTCTAGCTCACTCAACCCCCAGCATGCATATTTTATGGCTTTTATCATAATTTATGCGTTGATACAGCAAATGCATAAAATTAAATTCAATTCACACACACCCACACACTCCCATCCCATTTGAGTTTTCCGAATGCATTCTATTTTGATTTAATGTAATTCCCACTGTGACTACGCCCTTTCATTGCAGTGGCCATTTTTAGCTTAGAGCTAGTGATGCCACGAATTAGCATAAATTGCTTTTAATACTTGCTGCATATCAATATGAATACTTCACTGAGATCGGGTTATGCAAATGGAACTTGGACGTGACTCATTGGATAATTGCCGGTAATCACCAACAAAGCTCTTTTCTAACCAGCGCAATATTCTCACTAATGAAACATGTAAATTAATAAAATCGAATAGAAATATAGCAAACTAGAACAACAATTATGTTAACTTAAACATTTAAATTCTATTAGATCTCTCAAGCTTAAATGTTGTCTAATCTTTAATTCACTTTTGACCAAAATAACGAATTAAAAATAAAAATAAAACATACATCTTGCATGAATAAATCAAAATCTTTTATAAATATGATTTTTTTCTTCGTTTAAGCCTTTGGTAAGTTCAAATAGAATTAAAAGCTTAAATACAGTTTTTGACATTTTCTTCACCTCTGGCCCATAATAGATATCTTTATAAACTTACAAGTGCAAAATTATTTAATTAAGAAACACAAAAGCTCTTGCGACTACATCTCTAGTTCTATTCTTCCTCCTTGGCTGATTTTATTGAATTCGTTCGTGCAATAAAAATTTATTACCAGATAACCCAATCCAGCTCACTCCACGTAGACTGGACCGTAAAAAACTTCTGGAGTGAAAAAAGAATTCGGGGAGACCCAGGATGGAAGCTGATGATTTTATCATAGCCAGCAGTTTTTCAGCTTGAACTGTGGCAATGGCCTTTTATTCAATTTGCGCGCTTCATTCAAATTGTTCGCCGTGGGAAGGAAAGAAAGAATGCAAAACTTTTGGCTGCCTTTTGAACTTTTTGGCATTCGCCAACGTTGTGTTATTGAGTCTCAAAATCGCCCAGCTTGTAGCCAGCTAAGCCAAACTACAGCCGGCTGCTTTAATTTCAATTTAAGAGGAGCCAAGAAAATGGGAGACGAAAAAAGTGAAGTCAGGGCGCCGCGGGTCGCATAAAATGCGGCATTAATTTGACAGGCAACGTCTGGGTGCAAAAGCATGTGTGGAAACATGAGGAGCTTGTGGGGGCGGCAAGGGGTTAAAATCAGTCGCTGATGGGGCAAAAAAAAATGGCGTGAGCAACTTAACGCATCATGGGGCAAGATTGGGATATAGATTCCCTGAAGATGGCCAGCGGCAAGTCGAGATGATGACTTTATTCACTAGGTGAAAAAACAATGTGATAAATCATGTCTATAAAGTATTGATTCGGATAAACGAATATACCTGTCAAATTAAAATCACAAATAATCTAAGTTATATTATTTTAGTTTATTATCAAAGGTTTTTTCTTCTGATTTAACTTAACTAAACATTAAATTTAAAAATACCAACAGAATCAAGGAACCGTAGGTAAGCTGGCCCGTTTCCTCTTTAAAAATCATTTTTTCTTGTAGTGTGCCAAGAAGCCAACGAACTGATATTTCATTCAAATTTGAGGTTTATTTTAATCACACCCACATGCCTCTCATATACTACGATCGCACGATTAACTCGCCCCTGGAGCTTATCCTGGCGGGACTGCGGGATGCAACCGCAGGCTCCTCCCTGCGCGATCTGGCCACCTTTGTGACGCGAAAGACGGGCTTTCCCGGCGAAGTCTGCTTAAAGGTTATCATGGAGGCCCTCGAGGAGGGCATGGCCTGCAAGAGCATCCGACAAGAGCACGGGCTTTTCTACGACGTACCGCCAAAACCACCCCGTCTGCCCGCTCGGCGAAAATTGCAAATACCGCAGCCAAAGCCGGCGAACGACTGCTGCGATAATTAATTCATAATGCCGAGAGTATCCGCTCGAGTGGCCGAGGAGAGCAGAGCAAACACTTTATTAAAATTAAAATTTATCTAAATTGCGACAGCAAGCCATGCTATTCTATCCGCAAAGTACTTGAACAACTTCGTCTGACAATGACGGAAGGGTTGCTGTTGTTGCTGACGCTGTTGCCAGGCGTTCCCCGCAAGGTAAAGTGTCTGCACCCGCTCCAGATATTTTTCCTTTTTTTCCGTCCTTATTTCTTTTTTCTTTCTGCTAAAGGTGCACTTCTTGTTGCTGCAGCGTCTTCTGTCTGTCAAACGTCAGTCTTGGCGTTGTGGAGCGTTGAAATTGAAAGCTCCGCTCGCTTTGCCTTTTGGCCAGGTGGGGCAAAGCTGCAGAAGATGGCTGTGGTGGATGGATGGGGCTGGGCCTTTGCATTCTCAATGTGTCACTTTGATTTATTATTTTCGACAGCCCTCCCCACGGAGCCATGCTTACGAGCTCATGAGTCTTAACGGCAGCATTAGAGTACACTACAGTAAACAATAAATATAAGATTCAGAAAGTGGTGTTAAGGTACAAGTATTTATTTACCAAAAAGCATTCAGTAATTTATTTATATATTTGTATGTAACTTAAATATTTACTCAAAAACGTATTAAAGAAATTTAAATTAAGTTTAATGAGTTTGATTGCATTTAATTACCCTTTCTTTAAACTGTTATGGCAAAAAACACATAAAAAGCATATTCATTTAAAAAAAGGTCGTTTTATTAGTAAAAATCTAAATTTTAAACTATGCCTTATCTGCTACAAAAAATTCATAAATTCGTTCGCTATATTTTTGTTTCTTAGATATATGTTATTTGCCTTAGTGTATCCGGTTCTTGGGGAGAACGCAACTTGAGCGCAATTTTTCATTTCCCTTTGCATTTTTTTAACGCCCCTGCCACTTTGCGTTTTTATCTCATTTATTTATTTTACAATTAGACAAAGTGAAGTGCACTTCCACACGGGCAACAGCTGCACTTGGGCTGGTGGTTAGGGATTGGGGGTGGCAATTGCAATTGCACTTGCAACTTCAAATGCAATGGCAATGGCATCTGTTGTGCCATGTCCACGTCCATGTTTGGTGTGTACTTTGCGGCATGGCAGCACGCCAAGGAGTGCGGGCCTAAAATGAAAAAAAAGGGATTCAAGCCGCCCTTGTGGCTGCCCTAAATCAAAAGCTTATGGGAAAACTGCTTAAAATTAACATTAAGGCCTAAGTATGCCATAGGCTCACGGCGCACAGATACGAGATACTTTCTCGAAAAGATACTTTTTCGCCAAGGTTGAGCCGGCAGGCAGGCAGGCTGGCAATAATCATAAAAGTAGCCCGCACACAAGTCTCCTGCAAACTTTTCACATCGACGAAACAAATGGCAAATGGCCTGGTAGCAGAAACACTTAAGCGCCAGGTAAGTGAAAACTCAAATAAAAATGGCAGAGCACCCCAAAAAAAGCAGGAAACTTTTACAATGCGAACCCGAATCGAGGTTGGGCTATTTTTGGGCATCAGCAACTTCAAGCTCCCTCAGATTCAATAAAACAACTTAAAGGCAACTTTATCGGAAGACTTTAATTCCGATTCCCTGATGCCGCAGAGTAAAGAATTTCGGTCAAAGTTTTTGTTGAACCTATTATTTTTAAAACTAGTGAGATATAAGATACAATTTATCAAATGTACGTTTGAATTAAAAAGTATCCGTTTTTTTAAGATTCTTTACACTCAAGTAAAAGCTCGTAATTTGCCAAATAAAAGTATTTTTTTTTTTCAAATTAAAAATATGCCTATCCTGCAATATACTTGTGCCTTTCATGCGTTACTTGCCTAAAACGCCTTGAGCAATGCATAGCTTTATCTTTGCTGCATCAGCCCTTTGATGTCAACATAAATTTTAATTGCAAACGCCCAGCGGCTAGACACTTATTGCCGGACAGTTCGGTCGGTTTGCAGGACTTCAGTTTGTCGAACTACGATTATGAAACTGTAAGTCTAATTGCAACTTTGGCTTCATCCGGCATCTTTCGACTTTAAGTTCCGGGGAAAAGCAGCAGACAGATATGAAAAAATTGCCAAAAACTAAGGCAGACTGCAAGTTCTTATTGCATTAGCCTGGTCGGGGCAAAGTTGAAATGTCAACGCAAAGTCACACAGAGAAAATCACACAGCAAGACACACACTAGTATACAGATTCATCGAGCAATATGAAAGCTGGGCACTTTTCCGTCTTCCATTTATGAGTTGCCATTTTAGCTTTATTTTTTATTTTGGCTGCTTCTGGCCATTTTTAAATTTTTGAATATTTGTATACCCATTTAGGTATGTTCTTACCTATGAAACTACGCAATGCCTTTGCATTTTGTTTTGTGTTTACAAATAAACTTTAAACACTAAAACACATTTAGAAATTTTGAAATTACTTTTAACACTGTTAATTATATTATAAGCTGATGGTGTTTGTCGGTAAATATTTATTTTTAACAATTTAAATATATCTTAACTATTATTTTAAGCTGAAAAGTAAAATGAAACTAAAATGTCTTACCCAAGTTTTGTAGCCCATTTTACGACTGTCATTTTCTTGTGAAAACTTTTATCGCTAGCAAATGTACGTTTTACTTAACCTAGTTAAACATGTTTTAAAAAACCAATTTTATAACCAGAAATGTAATCAAGGGGTACGGTATAAATAAAACGATGCTAAAAATAACTAATTCAAATGAGACTTTGATCAGCTATTTTTAATGTGGTAGTTTTTTTTAACGGATGAGGCTTTGATCGGCTATTCATAACATTGAATTATTTTCAACCAGAGTTTTTGTTAATTTTTCCGATGTTTTCTCCCACCCTGTGCCAGCACTGTCGTCCCCGTATCACACTGGCCAGCAGGAGTCCAAAAATGTTTGATATGCGACCCAATTTTGTCGTATCGCAACATGGCAAAGTTCGACACATTTCCGCACCTAGAAAAAGGGGGGGAAATGGAAGCTCACTCGGCTGACATTCTGTCGAGCTGTGCATTTTGGCTATGTGCATGTCAGGGCTGGGAGCCACGCCCACCCTGTTGTCAGCCCACTTTTCACGGCCCAGTTGAGCCATCCGTCAGTTCGATTTATGTCACACAAACAACCAAACTCACGTGCGTATTTGCGTTTGCTAATTAACAAACGTTTGGTCTCCTTTCCTGCCAGGGACATTTTTTGGCGGCCAATTTTACTAATTACACCGCGACGTAATCAAGTATCATGTATAGTTCACTTCATCACCAGCCGTAAAATGTATATTTAAAGATTACCATTTGCTTGCAATAATAGCTTAAAACAAAAACTTTAAAAAGAGATTTCGTTTAATAATGCCAAAACTTGTTGAACTGGTTTTTGTTTGTGTGCCCGCGGGTTATAGAAATGTGAATAAATTGTATCGTTTTTATGGCGAAAATGCTTTTTATACCAAGCGATTGGCAGACTCGTCAAACAAAAAATCCTAATAATTAAAGCGTTTAAAATGTCATCAATATAATTTATAAACATTTAGTAAAATTAATATTTTGTTGTAAGTTATCAGACTTTCTCTAACCCTTTCGTTTTACTGGGAGTTGACAGTAAATAAATAAATAAAAGCGCATTGCTTTGTAAAATTTAGCTTAAGAATTTTCTAATATTTTTCCCTTTTCTAGGGAAGTATGAATTTGTTTAAAATTATCAAAATATATGATTGTTTATCTTATATACGATTTGTATGGGGAAATATCGCGAAAGAAAGCATGAAAGCATTTCCGTAATTAATGAGCATTGGTTTTAATTAATCAGCTGCTTGAATTTGTAATTACTAAATTCTGTACTCAATCGTGTTTGTTTTAATACAAAAAACCATACATCAATTTGGATTATGCTTCCAAACCGAATGCAAATTAGCAAATCCTACGGAATCCTCTGAAAAACATAGGATAACAAATAAATAAAACAAATCAAGACAGTTATTCAATTATTTCAAATGTATTAAATTTACTTTTAATTTATTTATTTTCAAACTCTGTGATATTTACTTGAATCTTTAACGGCACCTGATTAGTTTGTCTTGCCAGAAGACCTGGCCACAAATTTTGTCAAAAATTTTGTCAGAAAGCAATTATCAAATAAAGCAAAAACAGGCCCCGTTGGCACAACAAACAAAACAATTCTGAGTAGAAACGAAAACGAAAACAACAGGAAATCAAAAAAACAAAAGCAGCTTCGAGTCAAACGCAAAATGAAAGTGGGTGAGGAGTTCCATGACCACTCGACACAAAGCGGGGACAAACCACCCAACCACCCACCGAGGTCCCAGCCTCAATGCCGCCACTTAAGCAGCGCTACGTGAGCCAAGAGACACACACGCAAATAACTGCGGGGGTAGCTTTTAATTATCTCGTTATTTTTTAATTTCCACCATTTCACTGATTTCATTTTGAGCACATCGAGCGCGACGGGCGGTCTGCTCTTCCTGCCCAGAAAAAGGAGAAGGTGTGGAAAAAGTCACTCCGTAGTCCCGACGCCATTCAAACCTGCTAAATATGCAAAAAAGCAGGACCTTAAGACGCAACTAATTCGCAGCTCTCTTAATTCTGCCTAGCCTGTTGTCTTAGCGATACACTGAGAAAGTAACTTACTTACATTTAATAGTTAAAATAGTATTTATACGACATGTATATATAAAAAAGTTACAATTTGTTTAACATCTCCTTCCGTAAAGTAAACAATGCTCAGTAATGTCAACAGAAACCACTAAACCAACTATTAAGCTCACAATATTTGATTTTTTCTCTGTATAACAATAATTTGTTTACGCTCTAATGGCCCGGCCACTTGGCATGGCTCTTAAAGCCCCACAAAAGCGGCGGAGGAGTGTAAAGTGAGCTGAAAAACAATTAAGTCAGCCGGGTAGCCCACCGACCCCAATCCCCTGACCTGTCGACCCATCAGTCCTCCACATTAACATCAAATTAGTTCGTGGATTAACACGTTTTTCACATGCCGGTGGCGAAAAGGAAAGGGCTGCCAGAACTTCTGGAACCCGAGCTCCAGTACGCATACGACACGGTGTCGGGCGGGAAGGCCTTTAGTTCTTTAGTTTACCCCCGTGTGCAGCGAGGCGTGTGGAAGGCTTACTACACTAATTATACTCCAGGCTGGCCTTTATTTTCGGGGACATAGCTAAAAATACTTTAAAGTTTATTATTAACATGTGAAACTTAATTAAGACCTGGTGTCCTTCCAATACGGGTTTGAGGATTGTGCAGATTGGGAGTAGAGCACCCAGCGTAACGATATACAATGATTTATTTAAAATAATACACTTTAACAAATATTATAATTATTCTTCAATATAATACCATCCCACAAATTTTGATATTATTTCAGCTATGTATTTCTTAAATAGTTTCAAAAAGAAAAGCCGATTAAAGTTTTGCAATGCATATTATCATTTTCACCCAAACTGTAAGTATATTTAAATAAAGTTTTTTGTTCGACCTGGCAAAGTTTGCAGCTACAAAATAGGCTTCATTGCTCTTTTGTCATGCCCGGCAGAAGCTGGATACATATATCGTAGTATATCTTGGAGCTAAAATCAGTGGCACAATGAGCATATTGTGTGGCTAAAAAATTTAATGCTTACGTGCCTGAAATATCTACCGAGGCACAAAGGATGCGATTGCAATATATGAAAGGGATATGTGAGGCGCATCGACTCGTCGGGTAGAGTTCATAAATAAAGCGTCCAAAAACCTCGACTTTGGCTTGGCTTAAAATAAAAGTTACTTGCCGTCGCCGAAAAAAGAGGAGGAATTGCTTCGAAAATGCAGCACTATAAAGAAAATCGTTTACTGATTTACTCGCTGTGGTGTTCTGGAGAAAAGGGAGGGACTGGGAAGGGGATACGTTGCAACTAATAAAAGTTTTCGCTGTTCGACGGCGCGTACGATGGTGTGCCACGCCCACCAACACACTCTCGCCTCCTGGTCATCGGTTGAAATGTTTGCTGTTGTGGCTTTTCAGCAATTTCAACGCACGTCCAGTGAGGGGCAATACAAAAAAGAAGAACGTAATCCAGCCAGCACTTTAATAATGAGATTTATATTGAACAGAAATTGATTGCCTTCAAGGGAGCCAATAAATGGTCCAATAAACATCTCAATGATCAGGTGCTTGGAGCAAACTATTTAAATATGGCCTCATAAAAATAGAAACTTACAAGGGTGAAAGTAATTTGAGATCTCTTGAAACATTCACCATATTAAATCTAAACACTACAATTGACATTAAAGGGCAAACTTCGAAAGATAGTGTATGTAATGCCAACATTAGACTAAAATATTTTTGACTCGTTTGAATGTAAAAAATAATCAACCGACATATCTTATTATTTTTACTATTCCACTTAAATATTTCTTTAGTTTAAAAAAATGGTTTTTATAGCATAGAACCTGTTGCAAACGTATAAGGAGCACAGCAGGTATCCCGGAAAACGTTGGGCAAGCCGAAGAGCTGGATACGAAATTATATAAAGTCATCATATTAGGCAAAAAAAACAGATATGCGCAAATTTCATTGAAATACCGCTGCACACCGATCCAACTACACCATATAATTTTAATTTACATACATCTACAATGTCGACAGCCAGAACATGTATATTATACAAGCTTTTTACACATTTTTCTGTAAGCGTATGCTTGCGACATCTGGCGGGAAAAATTGTGAAGCACTGCTTAGCTTAAAATTGCACTGCTTCTTAGTAGACCTTAGGAAGGAGCAGCAGACGCCGTGAGGGCTGCCATTCGTCCTCCAGTTCGAGATCGGAAAAAAGGAAATCTTAACAAGATAGGAAGCAAACTTCGGCAAGCCGAAGTTCATATACCCTTGCAGCTATTGCAAGAATTAAATATTTTTGAAAACATTAAAATTATGATTTACTTGCGTATATGTCTAAAAACATTGAAGCAATGATTATTTGCAGCTCAATTATTAGATAGTTATTTTATATATTTTTATTATTTATATGGGAGCTATTTGATATAGTCGTCCGATTTTATGAAATATTTAACCATTACTATATGTCGAAGAACTAATAGTACGTTAAACAGTAACTGATAAAGGTACACCAAAAAAACTTCTTTGATTGGGATTGCATTAATTAGATATTAACGATGCAAAGGAAGAATTTACCAATTTAAAAATTAATTTTTATGTTGTGTGTTCCTTTATTTTCAAAAACAAAATTTCATTAAATACATAAATCACAATCCTGTCGCATTCAATGCCTTACTCTGTATGCTGTTCTGAAATCAGTAAACGTGTTGTTCCCTTTCTGTTCGTGCTTGATTTATTGTCTACGCAAGGGGGGTCAAAACAAATTCAAGAACTCAACAAGACGTTTGCTGGGAAAAATAACTCCTTTCCATAACATAATTTCCTGTTTGGATTACAATTAGCCAACCAATCCCAAGCCAGTGCTAAAAGAAACGTAAATAAACTGGCTAAGTAACATCCAGTAATCAGAACACTGCTGTGAAAACCACTCAAGAAAGTGTCCGACTACAGGCAGCGGAAGTGACATTTTGCCATTTTGCACATATTCAATTAGGTGGATTTGCTGGCAAGATAAGTTGATTAATTTGCTCGTGCAAATCAAACAATCGTACAGAATCCAACGTATAAATACAACAAGAACTCTGCAATCTAGAACCAGTTTCCAGCAAACAAACGTGTTGTCAACGTACATTTGGAGAAACTCTACGCCCACGCCTTTGCTGAAAAATCAACTACCGGTAAGAGTCGAGTACCGCTCCTACGTCACTGGGCCCAAAACTTAAGCTTGGCTCTATAAGTGTCACGCCCACAAAACATTTGTGACGTATACGACGAATTGGCTTTTACACATTACTCATACCCTGGCGCGTGTTGCCAATTAGTTGACAAACTTACAATTTGAGCTGCATAAAATTAACATAACTAAAATATTCCCACGATATAGTTGATTTTTATTTTATTTTGCATATTTTGTTTTGTGATATTCGCTTGGAATAAATCGCTTTCGAAACCAGTTGGCGGCGTGTCCGGTTGGAGGCAGGACAAAAGAATTCTTATTTTATTTACACTTTACTGGGGCGTAACTTATTGTTGTGGCGGCATCTGGTCTTGTAGCCGATCTACGCTTTACATTTTAACCATATTTTTACTGCATTTACAGCGCCATTAATTAATGGGCTCGCCAGTCGCATACGATTTGCATTCATTACGATTTTAGTTCGGTTCGGCTGTGTCCGTTTGCTTGACACTTCCTGCTACTATAGCAGTTTTTCGAAAAGAGCTTTTCGCTTTATCTACTTTCTTTTCCAAGTTCGGTGAATTTTTATATTATGTTCTTGAAAATCGGGGAAATTTTTTAAGTCATGTGTTTAATGGAATCGCCTTTATAACTGCACAGGCAAAAATTAAAGTTATCCTACTATTTTACTCTTAAAGTTTTTTTTTTAGTTTTTGTGTTTGTATAAGTCGTTGAGCAATTATATACCCATCAAACAAGTAATTATTTTTTAAATTTAAAACATGTTAGTTTACTTATACTATCAAAAAAATATTTTCTGTGTGAATTAAGCTCATTGTTCGGAATTCCATAAATTCCACTTGTTAAATACCTGCTGCTAATCCATTATGCCCTTAATAAAAATGTTATAAAGTTTTTGATAATTATGCAAAATTAAACTCTTTTCTATGGAAAAACTTTTTTGCGTGTCGCCAATTTGCATATGCTTAGCAACAATAATGGATATTTGATTGAGTTCGTATTGATTTGGATTGCCTCAAAGATCTGACGTATATTAGCGCCAGTGAGGCTGGCTTGTCGGACGACTTGCCTCGCATCTGTGACCGGCTTCAATAGTTGCTTTTTTATTTTTTTGCCGCTGTCTCAGGCTTCTTTTCTCTGTTAAGCTTTCGCATCTGCGTTTGGGCCGAGAGCATAAGTATATATAATAAGAAGACAAACGAGCGATAATAATTATTTCCACTCTGCTCTAGACAGAAAACGGTCGCAAGCCAGAGCTGCTCTCCAAACAACTCGACTGAACTCGCAATACCAAAACCATTATGAACTGCAAGCCCTTGATTTTGTGCACCTTTGTGGCAGTTGCACTTTGTGTGATGCATTTTGGAAATGCTGTGCCCGCAATCGGTCATTATACGCATAAGCGATTTGGTAAGTCCCTTAAAGACACTTTTTTCGATAAACATTTGTACTGATTGACTATTTTTATTTAACATTTTCTTGTAGATTCCATGGGCGGCATTGATTTTATTCAGGTTAGTTTTCATGATAATTTTCTAAGCCTAATAAATGGATATATACTTGAATTTCTCCTAAATTTTTTTAAAAACTATTTCAATATTTGCATTTAAGTAGACGTTTTTTTTTTATTTTTAGCTTTAAGTATAGGTACCAACTAAAAAGTATTTTGATTTACACACACATTAAAAGAAAAATTGACAAATATTTGAAATATTTTTTATTATTATTCTTTGAATATGAACTAGCAAATTAACGCTTTTAATTATTTTTTCTAAACAGGTGTGCTTAAACAACTGCGTCCAGTGCAAAACCATGCTGGGGGACTACTTTCAGGGGCAAACGTGTGCCCTATCCTGCCTCAAGTTCAAGGGCAAAGCAATCCCCGATTGCGAGGATATAGCCTCTATAGCTCCGTTTCTAAATGCACTCGAATAAAATCGAGAAAGAAGCGCCCCTTAAGCGGTGTGCGATGTGCGGTGTGTGTGGTGATATGTGCTTTTATGGCCTGTGACTCAGGTGTGGATTTAGGTCAATGCGATGCTCAACACGATGCTCAAGTCTTGGCGATCTTGGCTGCTGATGTCGACCACAACGATGATGAAATGACTTTTGCTAAATAACTGACTTCCCAGCGCGAAAACAAAGAGTTCCTATTAACTTGTAATTGTGTAGTGAATAAACAAATAACATAGAGAAACTTTGACTGCAGCATTAATTTTCTGATGGGCTTAATTAGGAGGTTTTTGAATTGTAACTAAGTGTTATAGTTAAATTAGTTGAATTTTTGAAAATTCATGCTAAAAATACAGAAAAATTAACGAATTTATATATACAATATTTTGGTTAATTTTTACATATATTTTCAACAAAAACAAATATACAAGTAACTTTATAAAGATGATAAAATTAATATTAATACTTACCAGTTTAATTTAATATTTTTGTTCCTTGTTGCTTGTTTAGTTTGTCTTAACTTTGTCTTAATCGGGTATTGGTTTCTTGATAACTGCTTCCCATTGCAGTTAAAACACATTTAGTTTTTTTAAATTTTATTTAAAAATTACTTGCATATTCAAAAACTTACATCGAGATATATTTTAAAAGTTATTTTTGTTTTCATTATCGTTTTTCTGTTTGCTTCGATATGCTTTACCTTAATCGTTCTATTTCTGCTAATTAATAATAATATATACAGAGAATGTATGGGTTTATGTTTATGCATGGAAATGCTGAAAAGAGTTTTCAAGAAAATGGCAGTGTCAAAACTACTGACTGGCTATAGAAATGCAGATGGTGAGCAAAGACTAGTTAAGAGACTAAGCAGTAGGAAAAGGAGAGATATAGAACTATGGAAGGTATAAGAAATGGGGTCCAAAAAATGAATCGAGATTGTTAAACAAAACGTGGAAAACACAAATGGCAGTTACTTCCTAAAGTTCAGCAGCGTGTCGGGTATTTCGTTTATGTAGTTCTAAAAAAATTATATAAAATTAAAAAATAGGTATTTTATAAGCTGAACGAATGGATGGTTAACTTACATAGAGAGAGGGATCTACGCCATGACCGCCAAAGTCCGCCCATTTAGTCAGATCAATAGATGGTATAATACCGCTCTTGCAGGGAACTCGAGGATTGCTAAAAATAAACACATTATTATTATATACCAAATGTATGTAGGTGAATCAATAGTAATACTTACATTTCATGATCAGGCAAGACCATGGGATAAATCTGGACAGTATCAATTAAATCGGTGTTGTCACAAATCAAGCGGGACAGCTTCGCCTTTCGAATCTCCTGCAGTTGCTCGGGGGTAAATGATGAGGGCTGGTTGGGCAGCTCATACCAAAAACGATCTCCGCGGCGCAAATAACTCATCTGGGTGGCGATGACGCAGGCAAAGGTCGGTCCCAGCATTGAACCTGGAAGGGATTTCTCCGAGACGCCACCAGACCAAAGATCAATATCGGCAGGGTGCCTGAAAAATTACATTTACATTACTTTTCATTATCTTATTTCTCAGAAGAGCTCCTTGTAAGACCTACTCAAATATGCTGCCATATCGCAGAACCGTCTCATTGGGCATGGAGCCATACATCTCGTCCCAAGTATTTGAAGTGGGCAAGCCGCAGAATTTCCGGAACTCCATGTAACCGGGAATCCCAAACTCCCGACCGCGCTGCATATTAAACGACACCAGATCCATTCCAAACCTAGCGCCCTCTTTCTTGAAGAGATGATTGGTCACCTCCTGGGTAATCGAATCATCCATAGCCTGGGCCACTTGGTTCATCAGACCCATGAAGTACTCGTCCAAGACTCCAGCTCGGTACAGATCATAGGGTCTCCTGATCAAATCCGATAGACGTTTCGAGGCAATAAACTTGTGGGCCTTAGACCAGCGTTCCACTGCCGTTGGTAGCAGGGAGTGGCCAAAACGGAAGGCAGCGCCGGCAAATGAGTCAATGATGCCTGGATTTACCGTGTGATCGTAGCCATCCCAGTAGCCGTCTTTCTGGAGAACCAAACCGAACTTCTCCATCACTTCCTTGCCCAGTAAAATTGGTAGAAATTCGTTGAAGGTTACATGTTGGACTATAGCGATATTGATGCGTCTCGCCTCCTGGAACAATGTCTCATCATCCCAGTGCTTATTTATTTGCGACAAGGCGGTGGCCAATCGATTGTGTTCCCGGGCCATCAAAGTGTGCATGCAGGTGAGCACCAGTTGCTCATTGACTCGAATCTCACCGCCCTCGAAACAGTACATGCTCTTGTTGGGTCGCGTGCAACCCTCGTCGGGAATATCCAACTTCAGGGGCAACAGATCCTTCAGTCCGTACTCCTGGAACACAGGATTCATGCGCATCAATCCTCCATAGCCAGTTCTCAGTTTGCGCGCGAAAGCTTCCTTTACTCCATAAACCGTGTTGGCATCTATGACACCTGTCAAGGTGTTGAACTGCTGACGTGAACCTAGAAAATTAAGATAAAGATATTTTAAGATTAAGATATTTTAATTATAAGTCCAGATTATCATTTCCATGGAAAACATAATTTTTATACAAATAAAAACGATGTTTATTTTATACAATAACTATGGACCCTATAAAATTACCATTTTTCCGCATTAAAGAAATAAATATTTCTGAAGGCAACTGTATGACTTAATTTCTCTTTTTATCTTAACAATGGAAAAACTCACCCAATTTGCAACCTGGACGAGGTGAGGGGAATCCGCGTACAAAATCAATGCACTTGACATTAAACAGGCGGTAGAAGTAATCATCATCGGGAATGCGGATCTCGTTGCAATATGGGTGCTTCAGATGCAGCGGTCGTTTGCAGCACTCCTCGGGGTCATTGCGGTTAATGGGATCTAAAATATAATATAAATAAAATCAAATAATTAAATATTCCGTTATGTAAGATTAAATTTAACTTTAACTTGTCAAAATATTAAAGCGCATTTAAGGAGTACTTTGTTTTTTCAAGATAATACTATAACCTTCTTGAAATATGGAATTTGTTTTTATTAAAAACCCTTCTGTGCCCAAACTTACCCAATGGCGTTCCTGTGAGTGTGAAGTCGTGATCCATGAACTGGCCCCAGGCGATGACCATCACGGTGCCCGCATGATCGTGGAAACCATCGTCGGGATGCATGGTGCGGGAAACCACTCGCGAGAAAGGCAGATCTCGACCAGTCACGGAAATCCGAGGAGCGTTAATCCCGTCCGAATATAGTGGGCCGATCAGGCGCTGGAACGGAGCATTAGCTGCTCCCCAAGTCGGATGCTCGATATTGTTGCAGAGACCATCGAACCGTCGGTATTTTCCCGGGCGGCACTCAACTCCAGCGAAAAAGGGTGGACACACCTCTCGAATCAGAGTCTTTGAGGTATCAATTGTGGGCAATCCCTTCTCGATTTCTTCATACGATAAGCCATAGCTAAAAAAAATTATTAAAAAAGGAATTAAGTCGCCAGTCATGAATAATTATCACTTCATATTAACGCAACCACGGATATCGCTTAACTTGGCCTTTTCCTGCCGCCAACTTTTCAATTCTCCACACACAAAAAAATGGATTTCAGTAAATTTAATATAAATTTAAAAACTATTGATTGTACAGTACTGGACAAATATATTTGAAACTTAAACTTATAAACAACTAAAGAAAAGCAATATATATTCTTTAAAATTAGAAATTATAAATTTAGATCTTTTATTAGTAAGTTTTAATCTTGTGTTTAAATTTATAAGTCAAATAAATAAATAGAAAAAAATAAAATAATAGGTTCTCAAGCCTTTGAATAATACATTAGGCTATTTTAAAACATTTTAAATGTATCTCAAAGAGGTGATTTCTTGAGCAAAATACTGGGTGCTTTTTTGCCTGTGTAGTCTTCAGATTTTTATTGAAAAATTGCAAAATTAATGTATTAGCCCAGTTAGCAAGCGGTCCGTAATTAACGCGCTTTTGGTCTGGCCGGAAAATCTCCGACCGATATTGATGTTGATGCCTGACGTTGACGGTGGCAAATTTTTATACTTTCAATTGGTTTTTTATTTGATTTATTTTTCCAATTTTGGTCTGAGATTTCAGTGCTAGAAAAACTAGTATTTAGATGGCGGAGGAAGTTGTGTGTGCCAGTACATAAATCGCCAAAGGGACCGGCATTAACTTTTCCTCGAGTGCATGAGAAAGCGAGAAAATCAAAGGGAAACTGCGTCCGGCTGGCTATTGTGTGAAGATGGGAAGTGGAAAACTGTTAAACTTCACAGTCAATTGGGTCTGCAATTTACTTGCTAGGTTGCCAGGTCGCAGCCCGTGAAAGTACCACAAAAGTGAATAAGGGAGATCTTGAAATACGATATCTTTGAATTGTCGTTCATCATTGATTTACATGGGCCATTCCCAGTTTAAAGTCGTCTCATTGTTTTAATAGAATGCCATTAAGCCGGGGAGCTCTTGCATTGGCCGTTTACAACATGTTATTAGCCATAATCATGAGATTATACAACGGCAATTCAGATGTTGCAGGTGCAACAGATGAAGATGCTGCCCCCTGTGGCCGAATATCGTCTTAGACGTCGAGCTCAGTGAAAGTCACACAAGGGGAGGTGATGATGACGAGCTCAGGCTCCACAAAACTCCCAAATTGTGGCCAACTGACTTGCCAACCCGCTTACCCAGATTCCACTCCACACACACAAACAAACAAAATTTCCCGAAATGGTATTTGCTTATATAAAATACGTTCAAATTTGTACATTTTGTACGCCATGTCATATTAATTGATACGCTTCATTTTTAAAAGTCCGGAAATTATTCGTTTTTTTCATCGTACATTAATTTTTTTAAAAGGTTTTATATTTACAGATTTGTGAAAATGTTTATATAAATAGATTCGATGTCAAAATATATTTTTCAGAAATATATAATATTACCTAGGTTACTTAAAAGATCAGAAGCAAACATAATAAAATCTTTAAAGGCTCTTTGACGACAACAATTTCTTATAAAGGATGTCGTAATAAAAATGCCAACAATTATATTCGATTTGGTGATACATATTTTTCCCTGTGCAGAAGAGGTTGCAGTGGCCAATCGTTGGCCAACATGGGAGAAAAAGGAAAAACCAAACTGGAAATACTGTGTGGCATCTTCCGCAGCTTCTTTGGGTGGTGGGGGTGATAAGTGGAGGGGGTTTCCACCGGAGGGGCAAGTCACGCGCACTCTCACTGGCTTACTGGCTCACTGCTCACTGGCTGTTTGCGAAGCGGTCCGTTGCATAATCCTCGTTTGTTTACATCTGCGCTGCGAGCTCCGCAAATAGCTGGAAATACTTTTGTGTGGCAAAAATGCGGTTGCGCCAGTTGGGAAGAAGGCTTGGACGAGCTCTCGAATGCACTTTTTCGGCTGTCAGCCACTGGCCATCAGTCAAAACCCCAGACAATTAGCATTTGCATGTGCCAAACTTTCAAAAAAGAACTGGCGCACACAGAAAAAAAAGTTAATTTCAGCTCGATAAACTAAAAAATCTTTTTCAAAATTCCATACATTTATGTATACTGTTTTCTATCATAAAATGTTTCTTAGTAAATTAGTTATATATATATACATATATGAATTTATTACTTCTATTTCAAAAACCAAATAAATAATTGATAAAAATGTATTTAGAACTCAAAGTTTAAATTAATTAAAACACAAAAAAGGACATTTTTTGGTTTTAAATTAAAATTGTTAAATTTAATCCTTCCCTATTTTTTCTTTTTGAGTTGAAAACAAACAATTTTTAAGAAATCCCTAAAGCCTCGACTAAAAATGCGACTTTTTGTCTCTGTGCTGATTCGAATTCGAATTTGAGTTCCGATTTGTGGCGAGCGTAGAACCTTGGAGGCAAGAAAAGACCCATGCATATTTGATGACTGCAGGCGGTCTTGTCGGTGGTTCAATGGTTCAGTGGTGCGGTGGTGCATTGGTGCTGTGCTGCACGACTTAACTGCCTTGTCATGCGTGATTTGGCAATCGTTATTAGCGCCGAGGGAGATGGAGATCGTGGGCGTGCCAGGGCAACTTTCAAATGCGTTTAGCGCTGATTACTTACGTTCGGGCCAATTGGATGGAAATGTCGAGCAGCAGCTCGCCCACGGTGGCCAGTTCCTCCGGCTTCCAGTCTGATTTCGGCTGAGCCACATCTGCAATAAACACATGTGTACATTGTAATGGGATATTCATGATTACAATAATAATTCCATAAGCTAAATCTTACGTCATTTGCCTTTTAAAAATTCCGAAAACATTTATACCAGTACGTTATGTACCTTTCTGTCATTAGTACTAAAGACTTATTTATTTATTATTTTTTCTTTATCTGGGATTTAATGCCCAGTACATTAAAATGTTGTTTGTCAATAAAAATGAAGTTAACTACTGACTTAAGCTACTGCCTAAGTCTTTTATCACTTTGGTTTTAAACTCACATTTAAGTTTTTATTTATTTTTACGTTATATATTAGTCTGTCTGTATCAAATAGGAGATAAACTTACGTATACGCTTGCGTGCATCCAAGTAGGCGGCATTGATGGCATCGTAGGTGATGCAAGTGCCCGGTCCATTGTTGTACGGGTTTCTGCAAGTAAATTGAAATGAAAGTGATTTAAATTGACAATAAGAAGCAATTTGTCGCTTATCACATGCTAACCACACTCCAAACCCACGCATTCTGGGAAGCCTGCGCATTGGCAGATAATAAAATTATTGCCGGGCCAACGCGTCGAAAAAGGCAAGTTGAAAGGACAAAGCCATGTTGTGGTTTCAGTCTAGAACTTAACTTGGCCGAAGTAGCAACGTCAAGATGAAACAAGGAAGTATAGACCAAGCTCGCATTCGACTAGGAAAAATATTAGATACCCATAAACTAGATTATCTGGACAAGATTTTTCAGGACCTATTACAAGAATTCTGCAATATATCTCAGTCGAGCAAAGAAATGGCCAAGTGTACTACAATAGTGTTGTTGACCATTTTTGTTTCATTCGGTCTAAAATACTATTATGAGGAAATGCAGGGAAAAGTACGTATATAAACAATCACAAATAAAATTTGACTTAAATTTCTTATTAAAGTAACTTCGGAAAAAAAATATATATCAATTTTTAGAATTGTGTTCTTTCTCTGCCACGCCCCCTGCGTTATGCCCTTCGACCTCCCGAAAGTTGTGATTTTTGTGCAAATATTAAACAAGTGCCGCGCCTTCAAAATATAAGCCCCCAGGAGTTTGAGAAAAAATTTGCTTACAATGCAGCCCCAGTTATTGTTAGTGATGCCACCAAAAATTGGACTGCTGTTTCGGTAATTATGCTTTATGGCTAAAGAAAATAACATTTAAAATTCACAAGATTTGTATATTTCAGTTATTTAACTATTGGTATTTCCGCGATGTTTATGCCAGGGCCAAGCAAAAGCAACATATAAAAGACTGTCAGTTTTTGCCATACAAAACAGGATTCTTGGATATCTATGATGCATTGGATATGACAAAAGATCGGGTGGACCTAAAGCTAGGAGAACAGCCCTGGTACTTTGGCTGGAGCAATTGTCATGCGGAAACGGCAGAGGAGTTTCGAAGGCACTACGGAAGACCCTATTTTTTGCCCGAAAGTTCGGAAAATAATGCTGTCGATTGGTTTTTCATTGGCACCTCTGGCTTGGGTGCACAAATGCATGTAAGTTAAAAAGTATTAGAATGGGCTTCACGAAAGTTATGATGCCCAAAAAAACCTGACAGTATCTTAAAAGTTGACTGACTGTTCATTAGGATCCCAAAATAATATTTTCTTTCATTATTGCTAGTTTTTAAATTTTTTTAATGCAAGAGTATTTATTATTCCGTTTGTATTTAAAAATAAATAAAGGTTATTAGCCAATTATAGCTTTTATCTACATGTCAGGAGTCTAGATTTCAAAAAGGGTAGTTAAAATTAGGTAATTCACATGCTAAAGTAATGAATGTCCGTTTTGCAAGCCTTTCAACTCATAAAATAAAAAAAACAACATAAGATTTAAAGTAGTAGAAAATTATCAAACATATTATTTCGTGTATGTGCATCAATATGTCAGTTAAAAAATGTAGCTCCTCTTTTATAGTCAATTTAAATACTATGAATAACTGTAAGGAATTAATTTCTTAAACAAATGAGTGTTTACTTTTTCTACCTTCCAGATTGACAATGTGAGGCTGCCATCGTGGCAGGCTCAGCTGGCTGGCAGTAAGCGGTGGCTACTGGTTCCACCTCCGGAATGCTACCTACAGTGCCAGACTTTCGATGTGGTGGTCCAGCAGGGCGATATAAGTGAGAGACTCCACAAGATAATACTTTAAGTCCACGTAACTAAAAGCTATCTCTCCAGTTGTATTGGACACGAACAAATGGTACCACCAGACCTTTGTGCAGCCGGGAGCCATCAGTCTGACTATTGGAGCTGAGTACGACTAAAGTTAACCGGCTGCAGGCGGTTTTTCCCCGTGACAGGAAGCGGCTGTCCCAACATCTCCATTCAGTTCGGCTAACTAACAAATATGGTCAACTGTTACTGTAACAGTAACAAACTTAACTTTAACATTGCCATATTACTCCGCTTTTGCCAGCCGGTTTGTTAATTAAATGCCAAAAACACGCAAATTTCTTATGTCGGGCAGCTGCGACTCCGCAGCCCGGGAAAATCTAACCAAAAATGGGGGCCACAGCCACTTCCTCGAATGGTGCGACATGTAAAACGCGTGTCAGGCGACAACGATGCGTGTTAACAATGCGTAAGTATTAAGTAATTACAACAACAGCCGGAGCAACTGCAGCAGACTCCCAAAATATGCCCACAAAATGAGCAGCTACTAGCAGAGACATTGCAGGCACACGCAATGCAAAACCATTTCGGCAAAAAGCTACATTTTTCACGAACTTGCAGTCACTTTACTCTGTTAGTGGATAATTTAATTTAAGCTTTTCGTTTTTCATTCGAAATCAGTTTGGCAGTCATTTTCTAAAGTCGTTCTTCTTTCTGACAAAATAAGTGATTATAAACTCCCGTAACTGACATTTATTATAGTTTGTAGAGCTGTTACAGAGCATTTGGTTGTCGCCTTAAGTAAGCGGCCAATTTCGCACATATTTCTTGGTCAAATTTGTCAAATTGAAATCGAAAATGGCAATGTCTGGCACTTAACTGGTCGGCCTGTTAATTTTAACCAAAAATCCAGTCGAGAGCACTCTCGCACAAAATTTACGGGACTCGGGTAAGTTCAATGTGCGCATAGCCAGAGTTTTGGGCCAGCTAGAAAGTGGCTTGCATGCGGCACGCACTCTACTCTTTTTCCAATCCAATTCACTCCACTCCACTCCTTTCGATCACGCTCCAACTCCAACTCGTCCCGGACTTGTACTTGTTATCCTGATTGTAAAGTAAAAACTAATGTTATGAATCCCGGCGATCGCAGGTGCGCAGCTCCCAAACGCCAACACTTCCTGATCGGTATTGAGTTGCTGTGGTCTAGCGTACGCGGCGTATGCGTAATATTGTGAATAATTGCAAAAGCGTGTCGTAAACTCGATGTGCAAAATATTCAAATATCATTTATCTATGCGGCCTTTTACAATCTTTTTTCATTTTTATATTTTTTTTTTTTTTTTTTTTTTTTTTTTGTTTGTGAGTATCTGGGGAGCTACTTCGCTTACGCAGACAGTAAAGACTGAGGTGCAGATACAGATGCAGTTGCAGATACAATTGCAGACTTTCAGCAGACGGAGCAGAGGCCGCAACGAAAGTGGCCCCTGCCAAAACCTGTATTTAACTTTTAAGTAGGTTGTTGCGGCAAATTTTTCTGCATTTTTACCAGCTGACTCTGGTCAGCCAGGTTCAATAGCCAGGCCAAAGTCAGCGATTACAACTTTGCCCGATTGGCAGGCTCACGTTTTCGGTGCCCGGCGACCCCAAAAATTAGCTCCAGCTCGCGGTGACCCCCAGCACTCAAAGACAATCGAGCAATTGAACAATTTGCAATCTCTATCTGGATCGTGTGACATTTAAAATATGTATATCTATCTGCTGCCATAAGTGCTGCACGGGCAAAAAATAAGAATCCATTTCGTATCTCTCGTAGATTTTAGTCTAGGAATTTGTTTCTAAATGAAATTCATCTTAGCATTATTTTACATGATTATGAAGGTCATTGTTGGAGGGAATTCATGTTATCATCTTTTTCCCTATTTTGGTGATATTTTTTCACTGTGCAGGCTGAAGTTCAGTTCGGGAGGCATTGTGTGTTGGCAGCATTTCAAAGTCACTTTTTGAAATCATCTCGAGACTAAAGTTTGCCATCAATGGCTGCTGCAGCCCCATAGCAGCTCAGGTGTTTTTATTTTATTTTTATGTTTTTCTTTTTATTTTTCCTTTGGCATCTGCAAGTGTTGCAATGCCATCTGTTTTTGGTTGTTGTTGTTGCCTTGCTATTTTTGTTTGCGGCTTTTTGTCGTGCGGTTTTGGTTTTTTTCGCTTACCAGTAAATCGCGCCGGTCTGTCAGGTGACTTCATGATACGTCCGTCTGCATCACATGACGCTGAGCCAAAGGCTGTCGTCGCCGATTCGAGGTCAAAAACCATTTGCTGATTGCCGTTAAAGAGCCGCCGTGACAGCGGGTGAAACGTTAGAAGCCATCATCACACCTGAGAACTCATTTTCCGAGGCATATGTTTTTCGCCAAAGGTCTGTGTTTCAAACACCCTCTGTGGGAGTATATAACGGAAAAACTTTGGAAGCACGATTCGTTGAAGTGCCAGTGAAGCAAACTCCATCCGATCTTTGGTAATACTCGTCCTTATTTTAATTACCACTGTGGAACTCAAGAAGTTAAAGGACGCAGCTTCGCGTCAGAGATGTGACATGGATTACATGTGCCTCCCGATCCGGTGCAGATTCGCCCAAGAACTGCACATTTCCCAATCAGTGCAGTCTTAAGATATATCATTGCGAAGGAAAACAAGATACGTTTCTATCCATTTGATTCATTTTATCGAGAGGTCTTTTAATTTATAATTTAATTTAATTTAATCCATGCAAAATTTTTCAGATAACAACAAAATAATATTTAACAAATGATTAACATGGCACTGCAAAAGTATAGGTTATTCTTCATTTTAACAACTTGTAAATAATCTAATCAAGTAAATCATAATTTTAATGTTTTCAAAAATGTTTAATTCTTGCATTACTTGTAGCAAGAGTATGTGAACTTCGGCTTGCCGAAGTTTGCTTTCTTTCTTGTTATTAATAATTTTTTAATCTTAATTAAATCTTTTATTAATATAACATTTGCTTTTCTTTTGGATGGCTATATATATTTGTAAATGCATTTTTATTTCAAAGCTGAGGACATTAGTTTTAGGATGCCTTAATAAAAAAAACTAAATAATTTATTGATTGAATTATTTTAATATTAGTTGATAACAAAAAAATTGTTTTTTTTTTTTCAGTATGGAATATAGATAGCAATCAGCCCTGTCAAAGGCCCGTTGGAAGCTCCGAAGAAATTGTTAACTTCTTCTGGAGAAACAAGCATCTGTTTGTACGCAAGGGAAAGAAAGTTGTAACAGGAACTAAAAAAATTAAAGCTATGAATAAAGATTAAATCTCATAGAAATGCCAATAATGTACGCTTTTGCGTCGCCAATGAAGACGTTGGCTGTCAAAAGTAACCGCTAACTAAGCCCCTCGTGTTTAGCGACAGATGCAATAACTTCGCTCAGCGGACCCCCACTAAGAAATATATATATATAACTGGGTAGTATGGGTATATCTCTCCCTAGGCACTGCAACTTGGGAACATCAACGTCAACAGGCGGTTGCCGAATGATTGCCGCTGCTGTTTCTGCTGCTAATGATTGGCTCAAAGCTCGTGTGCGGTGTTGTCGTAGGTGTAGAGCCATGTTGCCACCGCACAAACAAGCTAAAACAGCACAAACCAAGATTTATGGGTGTCAGTCGGGCAGTTGTGCACTGGGAAAAGGTTTCTTTGTAAAAATAGTATATGCGGCAAGAAATCACTACAATTCATAGCGATTCTTTCTATATATTTACCTGATTTTAATTCTTTTAACTTTAAGTTTTTAAAATCAAGCTTTTAGTTTTAAGAAAAAAACAATATCAGCACATCAAATGATCAAATCTTTGTTGTTTTTTTCTCTGCAACAGCAACGTTTCGGTGTCAACGTTCAAGTATTTGAGCCCCAAACATAACCCAGAATGCCACCGAGCCACTTTTTCTGCAACGGCAGACACACAGTTACACAGTTTCTATTTGTACTCACAAAGTGCCGCGGAATAGGTTCACGTTGTAGTCGTAGACGGAGGAACGACCAGGTCCGGCCAACAGAAGTGCACAATCGGATCCGTGGGCCGTCTGGAGTTGCTCGCCAAACTGATGATATTGCGCACGCGCCACCGCCAGCAGAGACAGTAGAAGTATTCTGCAAAGAAATATGAGCAAAAGTAGGCAAATTAACACATTATGCAGGCAAACATGCAACGGAGGCGTCACGCCCCTTTTCACAAATAGAAACACGCCTGCGGCCAAAGGCATTAATCAGTCAGTGTGTCAGCCAGCCAGTAGGTAAAGTGAAACTTCAAAAGTATGAGACATGATTTATAAGCCAAATAAGGATTTATAAAGATTTGAAGCTGAGAAAAACAGTTTTGAATATCTTATTGCAAATACAGTTATTTTAGAGGCATTGGCTAATTTAAGTTAACCATACGTTTTGTTGAGCTTAATTTTTTAAAAAAAGATATCTTAAAAAAAAATTAGCTTGGAAGCTGAAAAAAAATTAAGAAGCATATTTTTTGAGAATTCACTTGAGTTTCTGAGACTACCACAACGAAACTTTTTTTCTAGAACCTTTTTTATTTTATGACGACTAAGCACATATGCAAATATGCAAATTCGAGTTTTAGGCTTTCAACTGTGGGTTGCAACTGTCTGTAGATTGGCAGACCACGGAATCCATGTGTCAAGCTGCATAATGTCTTTTGGACTCGCTATTGTTTCGGGCGTTTCTTTATCTGTCAGTAAAAGGGGCGACTGGGGAATTCGACATCTGACATCTGGCAGCCTTGCTTTTATTTTGCGGCTTTAATGCGCTCAGATTTATGACTTGCAGCGCGTGTTAATCGCTTGTTAGCTTTTGTCGCCTCATACAAAGCGAAAGCCAAAAACAAAAAATCCCATATTTTCGGACAATTGTTCACGCCTTTTGATAAGTATTGATATTGATTGCTATTGTTTATTGCCGCCTCTGGCTAACAGTGAAAGTATGGCAATGCCCAGCCCCTGCTTCTTATATAACCGAAAACAAGGTTTGCCTCGAATACCCTTTAACATATCGTGATTGCTTAATTGTAATGTGGAAAACAATTAATTACTTTATTTATTGAGATCACCTTGAGTAACTGCACATTATAACTTGATTAACCACCTAGCTTAAAATTAATTTTATGGCTTTGATGGGGATTAGAAAATATATAATGTAAACCCCAGCTTGTATTCTATATATTTAAATGTCACAAATGTCACTAGAATAAATATTTTATTTGATATTATCTGAAGAGTAATATATTTGTTTAGGGACAGGTTTTAGAAATGGATTACATGTGATTAAAAATTAACCCTATTAATTTTCAATGCCACACATGCCAAACAATTATTTAACATGCTTTTGGATTAATAAATGTTTAGAACAAAATGCAGAGTTCAGTGGAAATTTCTCTAAAATACAATATATTCATGTAATCCAACATTATTTTGTTATTGAAAAAACTAATCCTAAATAGGAAGACTTAAGTAGATTGTAACTTTGTATATGACAGCTTATAATATCAAGAAGCTTAATTCTATTATATATATTTTCAAGCGAAAGTTTTAAGGGGATAAACCACGTTTTTTGCACATTTCTGAAGATTGTGGATGATTGTTGATAATAGGTACCTGTACACTAAGCAATAAATAGTGAAAGTATTTCACTTTTCATTTACCATCTATTGAGAGTCCCGTTTTGACGAAGGGCACAGCTCCCTGGCTATCAGTGTTGCTTATATAATCGCAAAGGGAAACAATAACGCACTTAAGTCCTTTCACTTTTCATTTGACAGTTTGGTCTTTCAGTTTCACTGCCCAAGTAGAGTGAGATGCCTTTTATGTGTATCCCATTACCAGGGTTTAATGAACTCCGATCGCACGATTAAAAGAGTGCACCTGCATGCATTTTTGTATACGTGAATTAAACATATGTGTTTTGAATGACTTGAAAAGATGAAATGATTCGTTCTGGCTTATAAAAAGCATTCTGGATGTTTTGAAGCTCATTCGAAAAAACAGAACATGAAGTGCGTGTCTATAATTTTGATCATTTCCCTGGGTCTGCTGGCTTTGGCTAAGGCTGATTCTTTGAAGTGCCCACGAGCTTGTACAAGGGAATATAGACCTCTTTGCGCCACTTGGCAAAGGGGTATTGTACGTCCCATAAAAAGTGTTTGCACTTTCTCCAACAGATGCGTTTTGGACAATCAAAAATGCAGAACGGGTCAAAGTAAGTCCAGGTTTAAATACATATATTTAAATTTGTTTACTAATTATAAATATTTTTAAAATAGATTGGGTTGTGACCGATGAGAGGCGCAAGTGCAAGCGTAACTCTCCAGACTGCAGTGATCTTTTAAGGGAGTGACCATTTAAATCTTTTTACGGCCTTTGTGCATATAATAAACCTTTATTTTCCCGCCCATATTACATTTGACTTTGATGAATCACAGACCCAGCGAATAAACAGAAGACTTGCTCCCTCTTGACCAATGGCGGCCATAATTTTTGGTTTACAGCTCACACGATTTGCAACTCTTTACGCTGCTCGCGCTTTAACTGAGCTTAATGCTTATTAAATCTGGTTACCAGCGAGTTGCTTTCATTTTGGTTTTCGCACAACAGTGAATTTGGTTCAAGGCTGCCCTTAAAATATTTCGAATCCGTGGAACGTGTTTATGAGTGCTTTGGAGTGCCCAGTTCATTAGCCATCATAACAGGGCAATTAGAATGCAAACAAAACGCACTCGCCCACACAGATTGTATTTTATTTGCCCGACATGCCACGCCCAAACGCGTGCCACGAGGGGGCAGTGCAGATTTAATTGCCGAATCCGAATCCGAACCCAATACCAAACCCCAACCCCAACCCCAACCCAAACCCGAGATGCAGATCAGAGTTGCAGGCCACTGCGTAAAGTCAATTAATTGTTGCTCGCCTTTGGGGCGACAGCTTTTGTGAAAGGCCAGCACGCAACGTCCTTCTGGCCAACCTGCCACAGCAATATCCATACTCTATGTTTCTGCAATTTATGCACACTTGCATGCATATGCAATCTTTACACCTGCCCGCAAGAGTCAATTAATTTCGGTTCGTCGATGGCCGGCCAAACGACTTTTACATAAATCGCAGCACTGGCTTATCTAAGGCACTTGGTCGCAGCAGTCGGTTTCTTTTGAATGACACACATAAGGTGGAAAATCCTTTTTAGGGGGCTACAGCTCCCCATCCGTGAAACATAATACTAAATAAATCAAAATATATATAAAAACCTTTTATTTTTTATCTTAGTTGTTAGGTATTTAAAGTATAATAGGTAAGTAATATTCTTTATATTACTTGCATGCATGTTGTAACAAAAAGTATGATACTTAAAAATCCTTTTAACTTGTATCTTTTTGTGGGACTTAAAGTTGATAGCCTTGACTAACATATTTTAACTTATTTGTGAAAAACCTCATCAATAAAGTTTTTGGTTAGCACTTTACAAAACAATACTAGTACTTATTTTGTGTGTAGACCGCTTCGCGGTCGCAGTTGCCCAATTATAGTCGCCATATAGGACTCTCCCTGCCATATCTGTGCATATTTTAAAACGCATCCAAAAGTTGACATTTGCTAATATTATTTTTTTCCATTGACAGCGCAAAGTTAATTGCCCGGTGCATTGTTAGTAGTTGTGTGTGGAGACAAGCTGATTGTATCGCGGGGTTCGCTCTGGTGCTACTTATGTCATCTTGGCTGTGGCAGCCGAATACCTGGGAGCAGGCCCCAACTTTAGGCCCCCCGAAAAGGGGCGTGCAAGTGCATAGGACTTTTTGTTCGGATCTTTCTTTGTTTGCAGCTTGCCACATCGCTCATATTGTTGTGTCTTGGCTTGTATGTAAATTGCCCCGTCTTGGCTACTTTTTATGTCATGTAAAT